TAGGAAAGCAGCTCCGGAGATACTGGTCTACTCCAGAGGCACGCATTAAGTAACCCCCACACCAAGACAGGTTCCGACTCCAGACCCCCCAGTCCCCCCACCACAATGCCACCTCCTTCCAGGGTCACCTCTGAGGAGCCCCGCGCAGGGGTGGCGCTAGGTAAATATTTGTGAATTGAATTCCTGCATCTAGTCAAGCCTGCTGTGTTTCATACAGTAGGGTGTGTCTAGGCCGTATTTGCTCACTCGCGTATTCATTCACTTATTCGGTAGTTCTTGAGCGCCTACTGTGTGCCGGCGCTGATGGAACAGCCCCGCTCACAGCGGGCAGGGTGACGCAGGAGCCGCGCGGGCGGGGGACTGCCCTGAGCTCCCAGACCGCGGCCCCCCCGGAGTTGTGCGCAGCTAGGTCTACCCTGCGGTGTCGGGACAAGGGAAACTGAGGGAGGCCCCAGGTGAACCCAAAGCCAGAGGGGACGCGGGAGGGCAGGAGCGACTGTGCTCTGAGCAGTGGGCCTGCCAATCGGAGGAGAAAAGAGACAACACAATAAGACAACACAAAATTCCCGAGAGAAGAGCTAGAGGCGAGGGAGATGGAGACCCGACCCTGGAGACTGGGGCGGCGGTGGGTGGGGGCGCCGCGGGTAAGAAGAGAGAAATCGGCCGGCGGAACAGACGGCAGCCACGCCCTCCTGGGAGCCCGGGTGCGGCGGGGGCGTCGGGGGTCCTGAGCGGGCGCTGCACGGACCCCCAGGCGGGATGCAGGGATGCAGCCCCGGCCCCAGCGGGCGCCAGCCTCCGCGGCGGCCGAACCGGGCCGTGGCCGGAAAGCAGTAGGTGTGTTCTCTTAAGAACGGCTCACTGGCTGCTCTCGGGCATCCACGGCCAGTGTCTCTCGCGCCCAGGCGTTCCCGGCGAAACCTGGGTGGGCTGGGTTCTCCGAGGTTCCACGCGCGGGAGGAGTTGGTGGTGGCCCGGGGGCGGGGGGCTGCGGCCGGGCTCGGCGCGGGCCCTGCGGCACCTGCGGGCCC